ATCTAAAAGAGGCACAAAATCACTTTCACATACTTTTTCATTAACTGTTCCCTCCTGGTGGAATGACCTGCCCAAATCCTTAACTATCTTCAAGAAACGACTAAAAACACACCTGTTCCACCTTTATTTGACCCTCTAACTCTAGCACTTTCTATTCTATTTTAATTCTACTTTATCTATATTTATCTTTTTTTTATTCTTTATTTAAGAAAACAACAAAAAACAAACACTAGCTTTCTATTTTTTCTATTCTATCTACTTGTTTTTCTTTGTGTGTGTATGTGTGTATATGTGTGTGTGTGTATTGTGACGAACGTCCCGAAACTTCATCAGCGTCGCCCTGGAAACAAGCGAGGAGCACCTGGCCATCATCACTTTTTGTCCCAGTCTAAATACATATTTGCTTTCATTTCATGCATTTCACCCTAAACTTATATCTAACCTGCAGTCCATCTCCAGTTTTGTGGATTTTAGTCTGTGTCTGTTGGTTTTAAAGCTGCCAATATGCATGTGTTCACAAAATAAACTTCCCAGGTTGCATGCGCAATCGGACCAATTGCGGCTTAGTCTCGGCTCACTCGGCTGTGTTCTGGCAGCGGCTCACCAAAAGTGAGCCAGTTCTGGCCCAGTAATGGTGGCCAGATTTGGCTAGGCTTTGGATATGCAGATTTGGCCCGATTTGCACTGAGACACACGGCACATTTAGCCACATTCGGCCCGATTACGGACCATAAGTGCTGGTCTGATTTTGGCTGAGATATGGCCATGCAGACCCGGACCAGTTTAGCTTGAGTGCTGGGATTAGGTCTCCGTTTACAATGTGGTAAATAGTATGTAGCAGTGACACTTTAAACATAATATCTTTTACCTGCCCATGTTATTTCTTAGTGTTAGAGAGGAAAGGAGACTGCTACTAGGCTCTGGTTCTAACTATCAGCAGTATACACTCCTGGTGTGTCGGTCAGGACACAAAGAATGAGGAGACTGGAGCTTCTTTCCAAAGTGTATTGAATATTAGTTTTATGGTCATGAACTAACACTTTGAAACACCAACCCCCAACTCCGGTGACAATAGTGTCTCCTCTCAGAGCCTATCCTTCTGCAGTTTTATTGTGTATTGTTTTATATTTAGTGCGAACACTTTAGGTGTCAAAAGCCACCCAAACTTTGGATATATGTATGTCTATTAAGAATCAGAGCATCTTATCAGTCTAATGTGCTCTTTTAGTTTAAGAGCTTCGCTGTTTTTCATGCACCTGCTGAAGACATTTTTCCACACTCTCTAAAGTTGTGATCACATTAGTGACATTTTAGTGAAATATTGCATACAAAACAAGGTCCATTGTCTGTTGTCAATCGTCGCTTTCAAAGCAAGCAGCTTTCTGTTGTGAGCAACTTGAATATGAGTCAGATCTTGATGGGGAATTTTTTCTCCCTCATGCGAAACTCCTGTTCGCACTGATGCCTAATGGAGTGACTAGAATTTGCTCATGAAAATTCGCCAAGCAATGGTTAAAGAAACCGCAACTTTACGCCTTCTTTGGTCGCTGATGTTCTTTCTGCTTTTTATACACTTGATGTTGCTGATAAGTTTGGAACTGCCACATCTATCACCACCTGCATTTTATGCTTCTTGTACATGATCACAATTTTGGGCTCTATGTGTTGTAGAGTGACAATGAAGTGTCAGTTGTAGTGATGACCTGTAGAGGGCAGGCTAAAGCTGTATTGGTATTTGTTTAAAAAGCAGCAGAGAAGAACTTGGTGTGTGATGGAATTACGCTCTACAAACTATCAAAATATGAGTCCCTCAATAAAAGACTTCATTTCTCCAGGAGCCTTTTATACACTTAGTGTATTTTTATTTTAATTCCTAATAATATTTTTTTCCTTTTATCCAACATTCTCTTTTTTCTCCCAACTCCAAATAATAGGCAGGAAAACTAAGGGCGCAGCTGCCGTTCTCTCAGTAATAATACAATGAGGCAGCAGGCAGCAAACTTGTAATAATGTTTATTTATAATAAAGCTATAATTGTGAGTTCGCTGACATAGTGCTAGGCTGTGTCCGAAATCGCCCCCTATACCCTTAAATAGGGCACTATTTGACGGAACAGCCATTTTTAGTGGTGTCCGAAACCATAGTGGACGTTCTCGAGTGCAATCATTCAATCCCACAATGCACTGCAACAACGAGTGTACAACTGGTGCACGCTCAACGGCTAGAGAATGCCTATAATGCACCGTGAGAGTCACACTGTGCAGAGCTGCTGCCCTCCAGGAATTGAGTTTGACACCACTGTATTGTGACTGGTCTTTTTTTTTTTTTTTTCCAATCAGTGCAAAGAAATGCAAGTACTGGCAGTGCATCAGATGGA